TTTAGAATGTTTTAAAGTGTTGCAATTGTGATGTATTTTAATGTGTGATATGATGAGGCTGTTGACAAACTGTGATTGTTTTTTAAATTAATGAAATTTTTTTTTGATGGTGGAAAAATACACCGAAACGTATTTTAATTGATAAATAAAGACAATAAATGAGTGAAACCCTATTTGGAACTAAAACTAACATATTTTTAAAACAGGCAAAAATTATACGTCCGTATTACATGTTTTTGTAGTTGTACCAAAGTCGGAGAACTCGAAACACAAGTTTGAAAATGAATGAAAGACAGATTTTTTACATTTTATGCCAATATATTTTATTCTTGAATCCTTTTTCCAAAATAAACTTTTCTCTCTTGTCCTTGGTTAAATATCATCAATTCTAATACTGTCCTCTACTATCAGCAGCTTGTCTTCTTTCTCTTATAGCGCCCGTCACATTTGCTTCAATTTAATGAGAGTCAAATTCGATTTGAAATTATCAATTAAGTCAAAAATAATCCGCCATTATACACCACCAATTTATTATTTTGTTTGTTGTTATGGCTAGTTGACACATTAAAAGAGAAGTTTTAAAATGTTCCAAACGAACATCTAGACTATCTGTGTAATCTATCGGCTCTGAGGTAGCTATCAGGATGTCCTCAGATCTACCTGTAATATGTCTGATGGTTTGGATTTCTCAGCAGCAACAAAAAGATGATTTATGTAAAAAATATGCACATCTGCCACGTTGAGTTCTGGTTCAGTTCAAATTTAAATCAGGCTGCTAATAGGTTGGTTAATTTCTGTTGGCCACCATCTGTAGATACTCGTTCATGATACCTTAACGTTGAACCGGCAGTGGTTATGGACAGGTTGGACTCTATCAATAAGGCGAATATTTTACTGGAAATCCACAAACCTGCAAACGTCTCGACACATATATCACCGTCACAATGCAAAACAAAAGTACTAATTCTGTTCAAAAATGTAATTAGGTTGAACACTTAAACATATTTTGATATAAAAATAGCGCCCATCTAATGAGCAGTAATGTTATGGTTTATTTCAACAAACTTAAGTGCTTGTAGTTCGTTTCAGTCCCAACCAAATACCACCTTCTGGTGAAGGAGTGATTGATTTGGCAGATAATTTCAAAGGAACTCTAGTAGATTTAGTTGGTTCTATTTCAAAATTTAACAGCAAGTGATAAAATAAAGCTTTCATTTCTAAAAGCGCAAATCTTGATCCAATACAGTTTCTAGGACCAGCACCAAAAGGCACATATGTGTACGGTTTGATATTGCTTTTATTTTCATCTGAAAATCGTTCCGGGTCGAATTTTGTGGGGTTTTCAAAATTTTTTGGATCTCTATGAAATCCAAATATTGGGATCCAAACTACATCCCCAATTTTTAAATTAAGTGGTTTTTCATCGGCGTTTACTGGTTCAATAGTGTACGGTTTAGTAGCAACTCTGTCGCTTATTCCTGCAGGCGGCCACTTTCGTAAAATCTCTGAAAATCAGAAAATATATTGAAACTATTTTTTATCTTTGTGTTAATGTTCTTGTAACTAGTTATCAGAAACGTAAAAATTGTGGCAAAATATTGGCTTTAGCTCGTAACAGAAAACATCTTATTGCACTTAAGGCAAAAGTTAATTTAAAATGGGGCTGGAAATTAAACAAATATTTACCGGATATCACCTTGTCCATATACTGCATTTTCAGCAACGAGTCATATGTTATTTTGCCATCATTTAACTTGTGGGTTTCAACAATTTCACTTCTTAGTTTATTCTGTATTTCCTTGTTAATTGCCAGTTCATATGAACCAAAACTCATAGCATTTGAAATAGTATCAAATCCAGCCAAATAGAAAACCATTGCTTGAGCAGCTAAATCAGCGTCTGTTAAATTAGCGAACTGTGGCCCTTTACCTAGAAATTATTTCAGTTTAAACATGCACAAATGTCTTATTTAGAACAGTGAAAATAGATGTGAATACATTGTTGCTTGCCCGAGTTTTTAGCATAAGGAAGTGCATGGTGTTAAAGTTTCAAGCACTTTTCCTTTCATTTATATAACTGTTGTATGTAAGTGAATAAATATTTTATTTTGATCATTTTTAGTGGGGTTTTAAGAGTTTACATTAATACTAAAAATTATATTTTATTATGAAACTATAAATTATTACTTAAATGAACTACAGTGGAAATTAAAACGGGATTCAAAGAACAACAAGCATTTGTCAAATTGTGACTTGGATTGAACATTCTTTCACAAAATCTACACAAATTTCAGAAGTACTCGGAGCATTGCACCTCAACTGACACTTTCCCAGGCAAGTATGCATCGGATAATTGAATGGCCAATCTTTTTAATTGAGGTATTATTGACAGTCGTTGAACGTACGGGTTACTCATTTCAGCGACTTTCTGATTTTATCTATGTTTATTTGAGCTTTTGATATTTTAGTAGTTCCAGGTATTGAAGTGATGTTAATGAGGCAGATTACTCTGAAAAACATTGCTGTCGACCTTCTGATTAAGTGTTTTGCAAATATATCAGTTTTTGTTAAGAAATATTTTTGTTACGATTTTTTTCTGTACTGCCTCAACATTCCCGGAACACACCCCCCGAACAATGACCCCTATTTTCAATAACCCTGCATGTAGGTATGGAGAAAATTTCATATACATATAAATATAGACTGTGTACCCACCAGAATGTGTATATTCTTTGACAGTAGCAAAACCTGTTTCTATAGCATCAGAATATTCATGTTGAATTCCTTTTCTTGCTTCTAATAATACATTTAACATGTCCTGTCTAACGATTCCTTGTTCTTCTCGAGCTTGAATGGTCTCTTTAACAGTTTTATAGAAAAACGAAGATAGTTCCTTCTCAAAAAGACCAATGTTCAACAACTAAAACGAATATACTTTAGTTGTAAACCATAATGAATACATTTTATTGTAGCTGCAGATACTAGATATCCAAATTATAGGATTTAGGACCTTATTCTGTAACTATTCCGCTAAAAGTTTACGGACGTTATAGAGTTTACAGCCGCTTAATTTTCGATTGCTATTTTGTAACTCAATTTTCTGTTAAACACATAACCTAATTCCATTATAAATATCGGTCAGCCGCTTATTTTTAAGGGTAGCCTAACAGTAGCCGTTAAGTTTAAGCGGACAAGTTGTTGACAAAATAATATTAAATATAAGTGTTTTAAAGAAGTTTTTTATCTTTCTGTTTTATAGCTCTCCAGTAGACTCAATTTCGTTCTTATATAACGAATATTTTAAGATACTTATACAACGTGACTCAAAATTGGCGTTTTAAGTCGGATATAGAGACCCACTTGGAGCGGAACCCACTTGGAAAAATATTGAGACATTTTTTGCGAAAATTTTTAGAAGATATTAACAGTTGAAAATCGAATTTCAACTTTATTATTAAGTATTATTTTAAAGTGGTCCCATGTTTAATTGGTAGAATATGGAAATACTTAAACGTTCGAAAAGAAAAATTACAATTGTTACTGCAAATTATGACAAATGTCTATATTAAAAAAGTACTCTTCTCCAATTTTTATGAAAATTCAAAAACGTTGTTTTAGTCATTGAAAACAGGAAGTTACAAGAACACAGCTCTAGTTAACAATAACAATAGTTTTTCAAGTTGTGACTTAGTTTGAAGCTTCCAGAAGTACTCTAAGCATTACACAGCAACTACATTGTCTCCGAACACCACTACAAATTGACCAGGAGCTATTTAACCGAATACGGGAAGCTGCTCAAAATGGGATTCCAATAATTCTGCGAAGAGTGCACAATAATGTGATTAAATGGGCAAAAATATGTTTGGTGCTAAAGGGACAGAACTGCGAAAACCTCTTGTGAGTTGTCCACATTTTAAAACGGTTCTTTTGAAATCCACATATTTATATCTAGGAATTTCGTTTAGTTTTTTGCAATTATTTCAGTTTTTGATGAGGATTATTTTTTCACTATTTTTCCTGTTCCTCAGACAACACCCACAGAGAAATGACGCCAATTTTTAATCAGCGTGTATATTAAAAATTTAGAGATTAAGACCAGAGTTACGAGTTTCACGAAATCCACTACCATGAATCAACCTTTTCTGCTTGCCAGTAAAATGCTTTGTACAAAAATAACTAACAGTAGATCGTGCATAGTACCTACAAGACGAGGTACCTTGACGCTAAGCATAAATTCGAATTTCTCATCTCTAAAAACTCACTATTCCAAATCTTCGCAAAATTACAATTCAATTTGTATAAAGTATGGAACCAATTTGAATGTCAAGTAGGAACTTCCACACTATGTATTATAGCACTAGACTTGTCTGTTTTACTTAGGTATGTTTGGGTAAATCGTGTTATTTGGACATCTTGAATCTGCAGTTGCAATGTGACGTGTTCATCACGGATTTCCCTGTATTCTGAAGAACTCAATTAAACTAAAGTTGGCCACTTCAATAAAACTTAATAAACGACACATTTTAAGAGTACTCACCTTGGTCAGCTTCGGCATTATCAGAATTGCGAAAAATCGCAAACGTTTGACTAGAGAAGAATAATCTGTGATGCGCTTTCCCAATAAATGGAAAGGGTTGTTTGGACTTTTGAGCGAATCTACTTCGATCCCAAAAGCTGTTGTGGCAATTATATCGTTTGCAAATCTGACAATATAATTAACGAAAATTTGCATTGTTTAAATGCCGAACATTTCACAAAACAACAGATCCTTTTATTTTCTTACCTCGAAAACGTATCCCTCATTTCCACTTCAATCAGTTTTTCATTTTTGTTTAAAAAAAATGTAACAAAATTTTCAGCAGCACCATTCATGAGATTGAACAAATTCTTTATTTTGCTGCTCGAAAATGAACCGCTCAGAGTAGCTCTCATATCTTTCCATTTCCGACCTGAAGACGGCAAAAAATACGATATGGCAATTTTTATTTTTTATGCTGAATAACCTGTCAAGGCAAACAAGTGTCCAGCCCATAATGGATCCACGTCAGCATCTATTAATGTTCGATGATCAGTAAAGTGGTCGAAATCTCTGATAGTTAACTGTTTAAGTAACTCGGGATCTTTAATAATTAGAGTAGGTATACTAAACTGATAAAAGCCAGAATAGCTGTAAAGATGTAATCAGAGTCAGTTATGTGCAAAACGTTCTAGAGGAGTAATTAATTCCTATGTTTTATGAATTTAAAAAGCAACTTCCTAGATAGCTGGGGAACAACTACTTACCGGACACCTGGAAACATATTGTAGGAGAATTCAATACTTTCTAAGAGGCTCATTTGCCAAAATATATTTGTCCATAGGTCTCCGACAATGGGCCAGGGTGTCGATTGCTTTACTCCCATTCTGGTAAAGTGGTTCATGGGTTTTAAAAATAGAAACCACATTAGCACTGCTAACGTGATTAATAATATTAACCACAACATCGTAAATGGTTAGCCTGAAAGTATTAACAAATTTAACATTAAACCAAGAGCCTATACACCGGCTGAACTAAGAAATGGCGTCGACTGTTTTTCATAAATTATAAATCATAAACTCTATAAAAATAGTATTTTCTTGAAACAATCTCCAAAATCTAGTATCCAAATCCTAAGCGTAGCAATGCAAAGTATAAATCTTAAGCTGTAATTTTTTTGTGGTACGTTGGAAATAGGTTCTTTAGGTAATTGAGAAATATTTACACAGTTCATTTAGTTTATGTTTATCTCGTGAGTGTGAATTAAATGCGCACACGACAAACTACAGTTGAAAACATCTCGAAGAAAGATGGATATCGAAAACACTTGTACGTTTTTTCACCGTGAGTGAAATATAATTGGCTTATTATTGAACGAAAATGTTATTTTATTATAGAACTGTTTTGCTTGTATCGCATATATCTACATACAGAGTGTCTCGAAATTGTTGGTCAACAATGATTCTGGCGTACAGAAGATCAGAAAATAAGGCCAGTAAAAAAATTCCAATCTACCATATAGAATTATTTACCAGGTTTACTCGAGATGGAATAGTTATTACCCACAATATGCATCTTTGGAACGATGAAAGCCCATATTTCTCGGAACAAAAATGAACACTAATTTGTAATTAACGTTTAGATGGGCATAATTAATTGTTTCGTGGTAGGATCGTATGTAATTTATGGAACCCTAACCGGACAAAAACATTTAGAATTTTTACAAGAAAACCTAAGACTTATGTACTGGAAGATATATCTTTAGACATTCGTAATTAAATGGGGCTGATACAAGATGAGGCCCTCCCGCACTTTAGTAGAACTGTAAGGGAACACTTGGATAATGGATTTCCACACCGATGGATTGGCCGAGGCGGCCCTATTCCCTGGTCACCCCGTTCTCTGGACCTTAACCCCTTGGATTTTTTCTTTGGAGTTACCTGAAAGTAGTAGTTTACTCTACTCCTGTTATCACCAAAGAAGAGCTGGTAAATAGTATCATTGCGTATTCTAATATTATTAGAAATGCCCAAAATATGTTATTCCGGGTGCAACTAAAATGTTTAACCAATTTTGCAAAGTTCATGGAGACAAATGGGACGCATTTTGAGCATTTAGCTTAATTAATAATAACAAGGTTCGATTTCATTTTCACATACGTGTTGCTTTTAATAGTATTAGCTTTATCACTACAAACTACAAAAAGTGTTTTATTTCAAAAACCGAAGGAGATATAAAAAAAACAAGGTATAAGTACCATTTTTGAAGCAAAAAATCTAACTGCATGATCGTATCCCCAAATTTGGCAAAACTACTGGTGCAAAGTACTGGCCTTATTTTCAGGTCTTCTGTACGTCCTATCATTGTTGACGAACAATTTTGGGACACCCTGTATACAGGGTAATTCACGCTATATGGCACGGAAGTTTGCGGCTAAACCGTTTGACTTTTAAAAAGTATTATTTTATGAATTGGCAGACGCGATTATTTTCTATCGGGTGTTATCATAAACGACCGAAGAACTAGAGACAGTAAAAAGCATCTGCAAAAAATGTTATTCTTAAATGTTAATTCATTTTTAAATGAAAATCAGATTTTTTACATTTTCGCATATAAACCGTATTATTATATTTAATCACTCCAGTTTATTAACAGTTTTTTTTTTCTTACAGTAGTTACTTCTGACATGTTTTGTTTTTGATTTTACAATATTTTATTTTAAGTTTRCTAATGTAAAAATTATGTTTCTAATCAAGKAMATCATTRGATATCATCATCATTTTCTACTATCATCATCTTRTGCATTTTTCATGAAAAATTTAAAGAGTAACATGTWGCTTTTCGAACCGCATTTYGAACCTATTACCAAGATGCAACTGGAACGTGGTCACCTGTTCCAGAAAAATAACSGTTTATCACACCTCTAGTTTCCATCAGTACWTTTCGATCTTTTGGCAGATAAGTTAATGCGGACATCTATWTAAAAACAGTTTTTTGAGCTTCGTGAAGGATCCCATCGGCATCGGCGTAAATAAATACTGCTTYTATTTTGCCGTCTGACGCGCACCATTTGAGAAGCGCAATTTTGAAGAATTTGACTATCAAAAAGTTTTAAAAAAACTAAAGAAAAGTTACTGTTTTTTACTTTGGCTCACCATAAAAATTTGTAGTATATTTTTATTTTAGCAATCAACCAACATTACTTTTTTGTTATGATTACTTGTTACGATTACTAGTAAAACATATTAATTATTAGTACTTACAGTTAGATGAAATCGACGCGAATGTACAAACCAGCACTACGGTTCCTTATGAATGCGTGATGCGAAGCTTACAACGTTACATAGCTCTCAGATAAAACAACTTGAATTAACGACCGATGCGATAGTCTGTTTACCTTTTTCCTGATGGAATTGATTAGATAAAATGATCCAGACATTTTCTAGGTACTATTCCACTGACATAAGATGGTGCACTTAACAAACTTGAAAAATGAAAATTAGATTGCAAAAACAAACTCAACATGAGTGTTTAGAGAGAAAACGCAAATTAGACAGAGAAGTCAGCCATAGATGGCGCTAAATAAAACGATCTGACTGTGGAATTAGTTCCTAAATTCAATCCAGTATGATTTTACTTTAAAGTTATTGGTATGTTTATTACGTATATTTTCTCTTTACTGCTCAATTTTTCAAACATAGCTCAGTTAAATCAACGAAAAATTATTTAACAGCAAATTCACACAAAATGGCAGAGAAGCGGCGATACTTAATCATGACATACCTCGAGTACAAAGAGCACACAACTATAACACACAACTATAAAGCAAACATTTGCAAATGTGAAAAGAGTTCTATCAATATACGGTAACGAGTAAATACGGAAACCAGGTAAATGATGCAGTTGCTACTATATAGCCCAACCAATCCCAAATAAATAATATTTGGCGATATAATATGGTGAACAATGCGTTTTCTCATTACCTAAGTTAATTCTAAATACTGCACAATTTATTAAAGAGCTACTCATCTTCACTTCACATCAGTTTACACTGTTTACAAGAATGTCTATACCTCCAATTTAAATCGTAGCTTGAGATTAAAGGAATTTTTTTTGTGAGAAAGTTGGTATAAC